GAAGGTCTGTGGTCGGCTCAAAGAGTGAAATATAGTGATAATTTTGGTCCGCTGAGGACACGTGTCAGCAGGAGAAGGGTTGGAAGACGGTTGGAAAGGAGACGTTGTAACCGTTCGGGCGACGGTTTTCAGTACAGTTTCTCAGGGAATATTTAAGGATTTGGATCATCATTTGGCAAGGGATCTTCAATCAACTTCAACAAAGCAAAGTCAGATTTGGGGATCACCACTTTAAATTTCAGTCTTTTATTTTCCAGTTTATTTTCTATACCATACAGTGTTTAGAGATTCCTAATCTCAGGCACTAATTAATCAAGTTTAAGGATATTTTCTATATCTTTGAATTTTACTTTATTTTTGTTGAAAAATTACATCAACAATAATTATACACTTTAATCTCATTTTAAATTTTAAATTTTTTAATCTTAATTAAACTATTTAGTTATCTTAATTTTAATCCACAATTATTTTTATTATACGATAATTATTTTTACTAATACACTTCTTAATTACTTACTAATTACACTTTACCTAAATTCTCGTATCTACGGTAATAGACCCATAATACATGGGACGGAGGTAGTATAAGTTTGTTTCTTTTGCTTCCAAATTCTTGATTTCTATTATTTGGACTCTGGCGTTTTTTGGAAAAAAAATATATATACAATTTTTTATCTCACAAAAAATTCTATCATATATTATTTTAATACCAAAGTCAAATTAATTTTTTTTTTCAAATTTATCAAAAGAAACATGTCCAGTATTTTTTCGAACAAACTATTATACCAAAAATACTATTTACACAAACTATTTAAACAAAACCATAAAAAAAAGGGTAAACTGTTTTTTTAGTCCCATAACTGGACCCCTTTATTATTTTAGTCCCGTAAGTGGAGCCTGTCGCAAACTAGTCCCATAAGTGAAAAATTTTCGTTGTTTTAATCCTCCGGCGCCGGAGATGCCCGCGTGGCTCGCCGGAGGTGACGTGTCCGCCAAATGTCGCTGACCTGGCGGACACGTCAATTTTTTTTTTTTTCATTTTAAAATTTTTTTTAAACTTATTTTTAATTTTATTTGTATTTTTTTTATTTAGTCCAATTTAAAAAATTAAAAAAAAAAAGAAAAAAAAATAATAAATTCACGTGTCCGCCAGGTGTCGCTGACCTGGCGGGACACCTGGCGGACACGTCACCTCCTCACTTATGAGACTAGTTTGCGACTGGCTCCGCTTACGGGACTAAAATGATAAAAGGGGTCCAATTACGGAACTAAAAAAATAGTTTACTTAAAAATAAAATTAAAAAAAAAAAGAAAAGAAAAGAAGAAAAGAAGAATCACAACCAACTTTATCAGCACTTCGTGTGTTATAAAAACACACAATTGAGTAGTATTTATTAATTTGTTCCAACCTATTTCATATAGTGTATCAAACTCAATTTCATATAAAGAAATGTCTATATATTAATATGGCTAACGTTTATTATTATTATATGTTTCAAAAAAATTTATATTTTTATTTAATATAAAAATATTCAATGTTTTACAATATAATTAAATATTATGGGTTTGTTCACTTTGTATTTTTGAATTAATGTGTTTTTTTTTTTTAATTAGGTATGAGAAATTATACTACTAATATAAAAAATAATATTTTATATTGAATTATTGATTTTTTGTAATAACATAAATTATATATTATATACGTTGTGTTATTATGTGTATATTTTATTTTTCAATAATATTTATGAGAATAGTAACATTAAAAAACACTGAGTAAACAAACCCCTATCTTTTATATAATTAGTTCGACTGATTTCTCATTGTTCAATATATAACCAATATCTTTAACGTACTTTTAAGATCATGATTTTCTATTTTTCTATTGTGATTTAATAATTCGACATTTTCGTAATATTTTATATAGTTTGATAGATTTTCGCTATGTTCTCCTAGCACTTCAATTGCTATTCCAAAAATAATATTCTTGCCGTTCGCAAATTAATATCATATTTTTCTATTTGGAATGTTCATTGTCCTATTTTTATTTTTTTTTATACAAAAAAAATTACTTTTTTTTATCTTCATTCATCTACTATTTTTATTTGATCTTGTTTTATCTATTTTAATTCAAATGATAAAATTGTCAATTTATAATTAAAAAAAAGTAATTAAAATTGTGCAAATATGATTTAGGAGAAAGAATTTGGACGGAGGGAGTAATAAATAACACAAAATACTATTTACAAAAGTCAAAAGAAAAAAAAAATTCTTTAAATACTCATTACAAAAAGTCAAAAAATCAAATATTCAATTTAAAGTAATATCTTCGTCCTATTAAAAAGTTGTCATTTTTCATTTTCGTCCCTTCCAAAACAAGGTTACTATTTTCTAATTTAGTAATTGTACTACCTATCTAACATAATAAATACCCTTCAAACTTACACTATATTACACAAATGTCATTACTTTTATATTACACATTACTAATAGGGGCATTTTTGTCTTTTTCACTACAACTCATTATAATACTGATATTAAAAGATCTACGTGCAAAAAGTAAACGACAATTTTGCACCGGGACAAAGAGAGTAATATATTTTATACTTTTGACAATTTCTCATACAACACAAAAAATCAAATCTAAAAACAATGCGCGAACGGAGTACCTATGTACTTCAATATACTCCCTCCGTCTTAATACAATAGTCCTATTTACCATTTTTGTCCGTCCCAAAACAATAGCCTCATTTACATAAACAACCATATCACTATAAAACTACATTTACTTTTTCATTATTATTACATAATTGCCACTACTTTTTACACTAATACAGTTACAAGGGCAAAAAAGTCTTTTACCCGTACTTTTTATCCACTACCAATATAATATGAATAATCCTTAAATTCCGTGCCAAACCCAACTTAGGACAGAGGGAGTACATGTTTTCAAACTATTTAACAACACATAATTTTTAAATAAATCAATATATATATATATATATCTATATATAGTGTAAGTTGAAACTAATTATTCAGCCTCATAAATTGGATCACAAAATATTTAATATCTGGATGAGTAGAGACAGGCATGCACAGCTCTCATTGTCACAGTACATATTATCTAATTTAATGAAAATAAAAAAAAAAATTATTCAATTTTATTCTGAATTTTTTCCTCATCTATTCAATAAATTAAATTCAAAGCAAACTTGAACAAGTAGGTGACAATTTATTTAATTTAGAATTTCTAGAGAATAATTTGCTCAACATTTCTGGTGTAATCTGGTAGGGTATGTATGTAGGTTTGTTTATTTTTCAAATATATATATATATATATATAAATATTCGATGTCGACAGTGCTGAATAATGTAGCTCAATATGTTTTTGTACATGTTTTAATATATATATATTGTTGAAATAAATCAACAGTATATTTCAAATTTTTTCTTGGTCGATTTACTTATATTGTAGTATAATGTTTTCAATATTATCTCGATGTTTCATATGGATCAACATCGTAATTATTAATCAAATTCAACATGTGATCTAAGTCTATTATTCAATATGTAAATTGTAAATACTTTTTAATTTAATTTTAACAAGTTCCACTACAAAAAAAATAGTATATTTGTAACGGAATTTCGTTCCTAAAGTTCACGTAGCTAATGTAATTTCATCTCTAATTCCGTCTCTAATATCATTAGTAACGGAAAAAGTGGATTTAAGAACGAAAAAATCTCGTTACAAAATTGATATTTTTTTGTAGTGTTCGTATGAATTTTAAATTGAAATAATTCGATATAATGAAATTACATAGTTAAAGATTTATATATACGATTTAACGTAAGTTCCTTGTTCTTAACCTTTTTGTGTAATTTAATAACTTCCCATCCTATATTATATTCCATCGTCAGAAGGTATTCATAAATAATAGACACGTTTTATTATTGAGTAACTCTAAATTTTACGATATTAATAAAATATCTTATCATTTTATATAAAAATATCAAATTAAAATATTTTAATATTTACACTTACACCCTATAGATTATTCGAAGATGCTTCTTGTCGCATAAACGATCGCTAACATTTTTTTTTTTTTTACATATTTTGCGTAATTAGTTCGCTATTACAAATTTTTGGGATTGCCTTGACATCAACTATAATCAAATAACATTTAAATTGTGAGACTAATAACATCCCAAGATTAATTGCAACAAGACACATAAATATTCAACCTCAATATTAGATGCGACTCGATGAAAAAAATATATATACTCGAAAATATGAAAGAGAGTCTGTGAAAATTCTTTAAAAATCGACACATGATTTTATCATGTAGACAAATGAAAAAAAAAATAAAAATAAAAAGCATGAGAACATGGATGTCATTAAAATCAAATAGTACTAAATTATAACATAGCTGTAACTAGAAGAGAGTGATTTAATAATGCATGTTCTCACCTAATTTTTAAGTATTGTAAATATGCATCAATAGGGTGACAAATTTGTTTGGCATTTTAAATTTAATGTCATTTTTTATTATTTAAATTATGAATTTCAAAACCATTAAAAAAAAAAATTAAGGGTAAATTGTTTTTTTTAGTCCCGTAAAAGACCCCCTTGTCATTTTAGTTCTGTAAGTGAAATATGTCGCAAACTAGAGTTTAGGGCCCTTATCATTTTACTTCCGTAAGTGGAGTATGTCGCAAACTTCAATCTAAATAAGCCCTAAACTTTCACTACTCCCTTAGTTTTCCATTCCAAATTCTTGTTCATATATTATACACAATATATCTATTGTAGTATTTATATAAACTAAATATATTATTAGGTCTTTCTCATGTCTACTCGAACCCCTGTGGGGCGGGATAGGCCCGGGGGCCTAATTTTTCCTGGTAGGGGAGGTTATGGGCATATAAAATATGTCCGATAAACATGGTTTTTAAAGTAAATACAAACTCTTACTTTTGAATCTATAATTTAAACTGAAGTTTGCTCATTGCATGCTTGGTTTTTCTACATTAGAATCATTAACTTCTGAAAATAGTCTAAATTTGAGAATTTTGTGCAAGGAAGCAACTGCACTTACTTGTTTGGTTGGGGTTTTGTCGGGATCTATTATGTATTTTCCGGAGAAAAGACTGGCTTCCGAAGGCCCTGTCTCTTGGTGAACAATAGGAGATCCATCTGTTTATCGAAGGAATAAAAACATATGGTATAAGCCGGCAAGATGTTTGCATTTAAAAAAAAACAAAAAACCTCAATCTATGTCGTTGGTATGTTGTAATGCAGATTTTTTATTAGGTGAAAATAGTCTACGATTGCGGCTTTTTAATATTTAAATAGGTGATGATCCTGAGTCTTAGGTTTAAGGATAATCCAACCAAAGTTCTATCAACTTAAGAGATTTAAGGCTAAAGTGCACCAAACACACTTGTGGTTTCACGAAATTGCGTCAAGTCCTTCGTACTTCTAAAAGTACGTCAATCTCCCTTATGGTTTTATAAACTCTGCATCTAACCCCTTAACGGTCCTTATTTAAAGGTGTTTGACCTACACGAGTCTAAATTGTGAATGAATTTCAAAATCTTAATTTCTAAACACTTAAAATTACAAATATATTTATTCCTATTATATTTAACCTTAAAAACCAGTAAATACACTCATAATTAGTTGTTTCTCTCCGGTTTCAAGAGTTTATTTTTACTATTATGTGACGCTAAATATAAAAAAAATGAATATATTAGTAATTTTAAGGGTTTAAAAATCGATATTCCGAAATTCATTTGCAATTTGGGAGCATTTAGGTCAAACACCGTTAAATAAGAACTGTAGATGGGGTTAGACGCAGAATTTATGAAGTCATGAGAGAGTTTGACGTAATTTTAGAAATATAGGGGATTTGACGCAATTTCGTGAAACCACAGTAAGTTTTGTGCATCTTAGCCACGATTTAATAGTACAATGATAAACATGGCTGCTTACCAGATTGATTGAAAACAAAGCAAGTCTCAATTGTCTCTTTATATTCTCCTATCTGAAATACAAAATAGTTACGTGGATTCGAGTAAGAGAAATTATAAATGAATATGTGCAATCAAATGTCAATTTTCGTTTAATTGTTTCATGCATTCTAATGGAATTGCCAACAACTTCATCTGATCAGTCGAATTTTAGGGGAAAACATACCAATGGACCATCAAGCAACTGCTATTTTACTCGGTATCAAAATGTCGACTACAATAAATGAAGAACTAAAACAGAACATCTTGGATCCTAGTTGTCCATGTCAAAATTTATTGAGCAAAATTATTTCTCATTTGCTACCACAGAATCGTCTAGGAAGTATGCATCAGGTGAAAATAATCAAATGGATGGGTATCGACTCACCAATTTAATTTTGTTATCTATCAGCAGAATCGGATTGGGAGTGTCCAGGCCCTGCATAAATCGTTCAAATAATAATCATATTCATACAACAACGAAACAATGACAATTATCAATGTAATCTCGAAACCTATGGAAGTGAATTCAAACTTTTGAATGTAAGAGAATAAGAGTGGACTGAAATAGTACGTACAGAGAGTTGGTATGGCGCATTGGGAGGAATGCTAATGTGGTCGGAAGCGCCATCCAAATCAAGCAAAACGTACTCCTCTTCTTCCTCTTCCTCCACCGCCGTGGCGGTGGAATTAGTTCGTGTCTCCAACTCCGAAGCGTCCATATCTTAGGAATCAAAATTATTGGTAGATTAAATTGCAATCAGAAAACAGTGAACAAGCACAAATTGCAACAAATGCTTGAAACTGAAATATAGTAACAAAACAGTTAATGCATTCAAAAATTCAAATTTGCAGCAATATTCTCATCACTTGTGCTCTTTTATCAATGAAAGATCAACAGTTGAGGAAGGAATGAACTTACAATTTTTCAATGCAGATTTATGTTGTAGGAGAAGAGGGAGAAGGGAAATCGCAATTGAAATTAGGGTTAGGGCAATTTGGGGGTGGAAGGAATGGTGGATTGGATTTGGGGTTATGATTCTTTTGTTTTTGGACTGAAAAGAAATTTTGAATTTTATAACTAATATTTTATTAATTTTTAAGAATAAAATATTTATTACCTTTGGTAGAATTTAAAAATAATACTTCATTCTTTTTTTACCCTTTCCCATATTTTGTCTCCGTGTCTCTTCTTTCTATTTTTTTTAAATTAAATTTATTACTTTTTAAATATACTCCTTAATAAATACTATAATTAAATTTAATTAAAATTTTATTTTTTTATCTCTCTTATTAATAAATAAATAGTAGTATTATTTTTTATTTATATTTATATTTTTATTTTTTTATAAAATTAATTATAAATAAATAAATATATTTTTTTATTTGTTTGTATTACATAAAATTTTAATATTTACATAATGATATCCGATTGTATATATTTTATGGAGACATAACAGTAAAATATTTAAAATACTAAAAATACTACTCATATAAAATATAATAAAATATTATTATAGTTTATTATTAATAACTTATTAATCTATGCTATTTGAAATACCCTGTCTGTCTCTGACCAAATGAGTCATCTAAGCTGGGAATGAGAGAGTAATATTTTAATTGTAACAAATAGTTAAAAATAATATAAAAATAATTTTGTATTCGGTGCAAGTAAAAATTGCTTACTTCTTTGTAATAATATATATATGTATATTTTGTGAGTGAGCGAGAAAATATTTTTTAGAAAAAAAATACAAAATTTAGATATTGAAAAACTTACAAAAACTAATTAAAAATAATTTCATAATGTGATTCTTTTACTTTTATTTTTTAAAAAAAAAATATTTATCCATCTCAACATAAGTATTTTTTTTTTTTTTTTAGCAGTGAGAATATATAAAATAATTTTGATATGTTTACTCAAAAATAAATACTTTTTTTCTACTCAATAAAGTACTATATTACTTTCTACACTTCAATTGCAAATTATAAGTGTATTTTATATTATTTATTTGTTGTTTATAAGACTTTTTAAGTTGATATATTTTATTACATTGTTGATATATATATATATATATTATCATAATATAGTAATATATAAAAAGAATACCTACCAAAAGATCATAATAATTCCAAAAAAGAATAAAAAATATATAATCCAAAACTATTATCTTTTACGCCAAAAAATATATGTTTTAGCAAAAACCATAGGTGTTTCCACGAGCTCGCGAAAACATCTCTAATTTTTATTGAAAACAGGTGTTTTATATATATATATATACAAAATGAACTATTCTGGTGGAAACATGTTTTTACAAGGTCATTGAAACACAGTATGTTTTTGCAAAAAAAAAAAAGTGAATTTTGAACGTAGTTGTACTTACAATACCTATAGAAGGTCAAAATTGTTTATATGTAAGAATCAGTATTGGGGTGCAAATTCAAGTTCCACATTGGGAGTTATGAGAAAAATTCACACCTTATATAAGTCTTAAGTGAACTCCATTTATATGAGGTCTTTCGGAAGATATCCAAAAATAAATCCATACGAGCTCAGCCTAAAACGGACAATATCATACTAGTGTTGATTTGACTCTAAGTTGTACTTGACTCTCTCTAGTCTTGTACTTGTACTTCAAAATTAAAATCGAGATTTTTTAATTTTACCACTGTATTCAGACTATAGAGATGGATTTTGAACATATATACTTCTATCATAAATGAATTTTTTTTTTGGTCCATCTCATAACAGATGATTATTTTTTATTTATAGTAAATTATCCATCATCTCATCTTTCTATCCCAACCGACTACATACTGGATGGGTGGTTAGTCGGTTGGCCTTAGAGAGACCCAACCTCTGGACTGTCGGCTGCTGGTTAGTCGGTTGGCCATAGAGAACGCCGACCGCTGGACTGTTGGTCTCTGGTTAGTCGGTTGGCCTTAGAAAGACCCGACTGTTGGACTGTCGGCTGCTGTTAGTCAGTTGGCATAGAGAGAGTCGGCCGCTGAATTATTAAAAACATAATTATCTATAAAATGATATATATATTGATGTGTTTTAAATTTTTAATTAAATTTTTAAAATTTAATTATATAAATATGAATATATAAATTTAAATAAATAAAGAATATTGTTGATGTATTTTTTCAACAAAACAAAGTAAAATCCGAAAATAGGAAATATCTTCAAATTTGATAAAATGAATGCTTGACATTAGGAATCTCTAGACACTGTAGGGTACATAAGTAAACTAAGGAAAATAAAACTACAGACTGAAAAAGTAAAGTGGTGACCTCTGTATCAGCCGACCTCGGTATCAGCCGACCTCCCTTTCAGCCGACCTCTGTATCAGCCGACCTCCCTTTCAGCCGACCTCCGTATCAGGCGACCTCTGTATCAGCCAACCTCTGGATCAGCCGATCTCCGTATCAGCCGACCTCCCTTTATGCCGACCTTTGTATCAGCCGACCTCTGGATCAGCCGACCTTCCTTTCAGCAGATCTCCGTATCAGCCGACCTCGGTATCAGCCGATCTCTCTATCCGCCGACTTCTGTATCAGCCGACTTCCGTATCAGCCGACCTCCGTATCAGCCGACCTCTCTTTCAGCCGACCTCGGTATCAGCCGACCTCCCTTTCAGCCGACCTCGGTATCAGCCTACCTCTGTATCAGCCGACGTCTGGATCAACCGACCTCCGTATTAGCCGACCTCTGGATCAGCCGACCTCCCTTTCAGCCGACGTCGGTATCAGCCGACCTCCGTATCAGCCGACCTCCCTTTCAGCCGATTACAGTTTGAACCGTCGGTTTATATATACTCATTTTAATATTTTTCTTTTCTATTTTCTATTTTTCTAAAAATTTGAATTTTATTTAAAAATAATTAAGTTTCATTTTAATTTTATTTAGATATATCTATTATTTATTTATTATATAAAAATTATATATAAACAATTAATTAAATTTTTACAATATAAAAATAATTAAAATAATAAATATAATTAAAATAATAAATATAGTAAATAATTAAATTATAAAAATATTATAATAGATAATAAAATAACTTAAATTATATAATTATATAATAAAAAATTTAAAATATAAATAAAAAATATTAATAGAATTAACTAATAGAATTGGAAAAACACAAACTTCAACAATACCCAGTATCTTCAGTATAGGTGTAAATTGACAAATTTAGCCATACTTACTCACAATATTACCCGTACGTATAACTAAGATAATTTAGTAGGAGAGGTAAAATAGTCATTTTATGTAGCCATTTTCTTTCTCACCCAGTTTATGGACAAAATGATAATGGTTTAAATAATCTCCTTATTTTGATAATGTATATATTTTGTGAACCAACACCTTTTGTTTATATTTTATTACAGTGAAGTATTATTTTACACAACATTATTAAATTATTAGTTCTATTATATAATGATATTATGGGAGTGTTTGTTTGACGATTTGAATTTTGAGTTGAGATTACTATTTTGAGTTGAGATTTGAATAGTAAAAAATTTGAATTGAAATAATTGTATGATGTGATATAAATAGGTGTTGATGTGATATTTTGAATATAAATTTGATTTTTAGTATAACTTAAAAAAAAATAAGTGTTTGTGTTACGCACAAAAAATAATAATAATAATGATAAGGTTTTTTTTTTAAAAAAATAATTTGTTGAAGTCAGCAGTCCGGCTAAGGAGATAAGGAGTCCAGAACCAGTCGGTTGGTTCGTGGTCGGCTGGTCAGCAGGTCGGATAGGCAGGTCGGTTGGTCAGCAGGTCGGATAGGCAGGTCGGTTGGTCAGCAGTTGGTTCGCAGGTCGGAAGGTCCGCAGGTCGGATAGTCAGCGAGTCGGACGGTACGCAGGTCGGAGGGTCTGCAGGTCGGATAGTCAGCGATTCCGATGGTCTACAGGTCGGACGGTCCGCAGGTCGGAAGGTCCGCAGGTCGGATAGTTAGCAGGTCGGATCAATAAGCCGGATGGTTTGCAGTCGGTTGGTCCGTGGTTGGACCAAGTAAAGTCAGCTGCTACGGAGGTCGGACGAAGTAAGGTCTGGTAATTGATTGTCCACTTAAGTGAACAGTAGTTTGGTCGCTTGGTGGGGGCGGCCAAGAAGTCTTTTGGTCTAGCGACCAGTTAGTCGCTGGATTAGTCGGCTGGGTTATGCAGTTGGCAAGACGGTTGCTATAACTGACTAGGCGACGTTTCAAAACGTTTCTTTTGGACGGTTGACGGAGATTGCTGTAACCAACCAGACGACGGTTCCAAGCGTTTTCTTCAAGGAATATTTAAGGATTTGGATTCTTCTGGAGAAGGCATCTTCAATCAACTTCAACAAAAGCAAAGTCAGATTTTGGGATCACCACTTTAAATTTTCAATATTTTAGCATTTAATTTCTAGAATATTTATGTATTGTACAGTGTTTAGAGATTCCTAATCTCATACACTAATTAATCAAATTCGAGGATAATTCCTATCTTTAAATTTTACTTTTTGTTTGTTGAAAAAATACATCAACAGTTTGATTTTATATTTTTTGAAGAAATTTTTTTGATGAATGATAAATTTTAAGGAAAATCTCCCAAACAAACACACCCTACATTTATTTTATATAATATAATTACATTTATTTTTATCAAAATTTATTATTTTTTTATTAGGTATAGGATTTCTATTTTGAAAAAAGAAATTATGAGGAAGATTCGTTTCTTTTTTTTTCTTTA